TTTTACACAGCGTGGGAAAGTTCTTTTGAATTTTCCCACTATGTAAAATGACTCATAACACTCTGATTGGGTGGTTGAAAGCCACCCAATCAGAGTGCTCTGTGTCATTTTACACAGCGTGGGAAAGTTCTTTTGAATTTTCCCACGCTGTGTAAAATGACTCAGAGCACTCTGATTGGCTTAAACCCACCAATCAGAGTGTTCTAAGCCTAATTGCAGGGCTGGGCAAGGCTTTATAAGCCTTGACCCGCCCTGCGGAGCTCAGTATGCGGCGTGCCCTCGAAGGGCGAACATGGATTATTTTTTTTTGCGCTCGGTTTTTGGTTTTTGTTTTTTAAAGTGCGACGGGTGTAATGGATTTTATTTGGCCTTTTTGGGGGCTGAAGAAAGAAGATTTTAGAAAAAAAGAAGACGTCAAATGGTAAGTTTAATTTTTTTTTTTTTACAGGTTAGTTATTTTATTCCCCCCTCACTATTTGTAGGGTGAGGGGGGTAGGTAGGGGATAGGTTTTTTTTGGGTGGGGGGATGGTGACTAGGGGCTTGGGACCCCTAGTCACCTTGATTGGGGTGTCATCTAGGCCCCTGCACTCTCGAGGCAAGGCAGGTCCCCCTTATTGTTTTATTAGGGCCCCCACCCACTGGTGTTATCGGGAGGAATGTAGCAGTCTCCCCTTATTATGGCTGTATTCCACCACCGCCAGGGTGGAATGGGGAGGACAGTAAGGTCCCCCCTATTGTTTTATCAGTCCCCACCCACCCAGGTGGGGGAGGCAGGGGAGACTGTGCAGGTCTCCTTATTGTTTTATTAGGTCCCACCCACCGGCCAGGGTGGGAAGTAAGGGGGGAGAGCTGGCAGGTCTCCCCCTTTACAGTTTTATTAGCCCCACCCACCGCCAGGGCCGGGGAGGACAGTAGGTCCCCCCCTTATTGTTTTATTGGGGCCCCCACCCACCGCTCAGGGGTGGGGGCCAGGGGGGGGAGGACAGTAGGTCCCCCCCCTTATTGTTTTATTGGGGCCCCACCCACCGCGCAGGGGTGGGGGCCAGGGGGGGAGGACAGTAGGTCCCCCCCCCTTATTGTTTTATTAGGGCCCCCACCCACCGCTCAGGGGTGGGGGCCGGGAGGACAGTAGGTCCCCCCCCTTATTGTTTATTTGGGGCCCCCACCCACCGCTCAGGGGTGGGGGCCAGGGGGGAGGAAGTAGGTCCCCCCCCCCTTATTGTTTTATTAGGGCCCCCACCCACCGCTCAGGGGTGGGGGCCGGGGGAGGACAGTAGGTTCCCCCTTATTGTTTTATTAGGGTCCCTCACCCACTGCTCACTGTTTAGTAGGACATTCCCTACTCGCTGTAGTGAGTAGGGGCATTTTGGGAGATTTAAATCTCTTCTTGTGCTATTATGGGGGCTTCGTATTGACCCCCATAGAGTGAGAGGGGGGTACTGGGGCTTATGAAATGGTGGGGAGCACTGCTCTGCCGCTTCTATAGTTGAAAGTATATTGCCAAGGAGGGAGCTGCATGCCAAGCCCTCCGTAAGAACGTACCTAGAACAAACATACACTGATACTCAGATACACTGATACATTGTGTTTGCTTTGTTTGGTTTGATCTTTCATTCACTCATTCGCCTGTCTGATGAATGAATGAATAGATGAAATCTCGCTCGCGATGTCCAGGTGTTTCACTGGGCACAAAAGGGAATCTCACAGTCGTCAGTCATCGGCACAACTTTCAAATCCAGACATAGTCTCAATATGACCGCCAATGGAATATTCTGCATTGAAAGGCTATTCACAGAACCTACGTATAAATCTATACACGATACTGGGTTGTGCAATAATTAATTCCTCCTGTGAAATATGTTACCCATACTACCATAGGGTTAAAAAAATATCCATAGATTCCATATTGATCCAATTAATCCAGATCCCAATTAGTTACCCACACAACCTCACACTGCACGGTCAAAGGGGGAAAAAATACAAAGAAACTGCAACAAAAATTTGAGCTGAACATGGAGGGTATATTAAAATCTACATTTTCGTTCAGCGTTGCCAAGCAGATAGCAATGCTGGAAAAATCCCTTTAGAACTCAGAGCTGATATGATACAGTGTAACACCCGAAAAGCATTGTTTCAGTGAGTGTGCAGACTGTCCCTTAAAGTAACCCCATGGTGGAAGAGCCCCACCTTGGCTAAAACCTTGTTCTCGCAGCGAGGTATTTATGGGAACAAAAATAATGGGTCGATGTAGAAAATTTGTGTCTATCCGTGTAAGCCGGCCCCCTTGTACACAGTGTGTGGAATGGCCGTGCGATACTGTGGAAGCTCTCAGACGCCGGCGGCCTGCCTGCAGGGCAAGCACAGATTAGGCAGTTTATGACACTGAAACCAGTAACACAAGACTTCTCATTTTTACACCTTCTTAGAAAACTGGAAATAACAAGAAGGTCTTAAAGCTGTAGGTTTCTGGGTCTGTAACAATTTACTGGGAGGGAGAATATCACCTGGACTCAGCAAAGCCTATCATTAAATGCACAAATTCTACCTTTTATCAGAATCCTGGCATTTAACTCTCCGACGCAGTATCCCACTAATACCTTCTTCCAGTCTGTAT